GAGGGCAGCCGCGGCGGGCACACGCGCGCGCGGGATCGCGGGGACACGTGCGCGCACACGCGGTTTCGGGGTGCGCCGCCGCAGACCGATAGAATCGGCGGCCCCACCCCCTCCTCGCCCAAGCATGGGGAGCCCTTTGGGCTGGGGTCACGCTGACACTTGCGAGACATCCTCCTTCAGGCCCCCTTCCGCATCAGGATCCCAGGCATTCCCTGTGCGCCGGGCTGCAGCCCTGGAAGTGAGGCTCAGCTCGAGGCTGCCAAGGCTTGGTCTGTGAGGGGAGCGCGTGGTGGGGGGTGTGTGTTGCGAGGGGTCTTCCCTGGATCATCCCCAGAGGAAGGCTTTAAACCCAGGTCTTCGGGCTGTGATCTCAGGTGTTGGCTTGGTCTGCTGACTTGGGGGTAGCGGGGATCTGCCTGTGCATGGGGGCAAAGCCAAGCTCTTTGGCTGGGAGAGGTGTTTGTGCCAGAACTTGATCATTAACCTGCCTTATTGCGAAAAGTGGGTCAGACCAGAGTTGCTCTTTTTAAGGCAAAGGTCATTAGTGTGGAGTGGAGCTTCCAGCTCTCCCCCATGGGGGCTGTGTGGTAGTGGCTTTGGGAGTGGCTGCTGCTTGCCTCGGGTGAGGCCTACTTCTCTCCATTTCTCCTGGGCCTCTTCTGTTCCCTCTCTTCTCACCATCATATCTCAGATTTCTGGCCTTGGATCCAGAAGCCACTTCACACACCCTCATTTGTCATCTCCCCAAATCTTCCTCAGAGCCTCAGAGCTGGACTGTAGTCCTCTTTGCCTTAGGTGGTAGTGGAAGTGCAGAGCTACCCCCATCTGCCACTCCCCCCAACTCTCCTCAGTAGGGATGTGTGATCAAATTTATCATCATCTCCCTTCCCAGCTTCTGGTTAGCGGGCCAGGGCTGACTTGGGAGTCGGGATGGGGATCTTGTTAGGTAGGCTTTCTGACCCTGTTCTCATCATAGCAGAGTTAGCCTGGGGTGAGGGACAGGTACTGTGGCAGCTTTGCTGATTGCCTAGACTAGGCTATGGTTTGGGCGAACAACAAATAATGATAGCCCCAGCCTACCAGGCTTTGTCCTGTTGTGGTTCTGAATCAGTGGGGCGGGCTAAGATAAGAGGAGGTTGGGCTGGCTGATTTCCCTTCTAGCAAAGAAACCTGAAGAGTTGAAGCTATTTGCCCAAGGTCACACAGTAATTTAGTTGTTAAGGGAAGCATTTGGATTTCTAGTTCAAGGCTTGCAAGCCAAGACTGCCCTGGCCTGTCCCAGAAGAAGCCGGGAGGGGTATGTGAGTTTGGATCATATGCTGAGAATGAGGGGGCTGAAAGGGGAGAATCTTTTGGCGCATTTCTGTGAGTCAGTGAAACCCCTTCTCAACTATGTATGTGCTGAGGGTCTCTATCTGGGGGCTGAGCTGGGTCAGGGAAAGGGCACAGCTGTTCATTTTGGGGGAACTGGGAGCATACTAGTGGGTAAGACATTAGCTCCTATGTCTTTGGGAGGCTAGTATAGATACTAGAACTTATATTACATCTAGCCTGGATCTATTAAAAGAAGGAAAGAGCCTTAATGAAGATCCCCAACAGGCTCGCACCTGAGCATCAGAACTGAGGCTCCTGACCTTAGGACCCTCTCTCAAAGGCTCTCCAGTCCTCTTTTGTTTCTGTTTTTTTGTTTTGTTTTGTTTTTTATTACGGAGTTTCACTCTGTCACCCAAGCTGGAGTGCAGTGGCACAGTCATGGCTGCCATAGCCTCGACCTGCTGGGCTCAGGCGATCCTTCCACCTCACCCTTCCAAGTAACTAGAACCACAGGTGTGCGCAACCACACCCAGCTAATTTTTTTATTTTATCGTGGGGCCAAGTTGCCCAGGCTGGTCTCAAATCCCGGGCTCAGGCAATCCTCTCGCCTCCACCTTCCCAAAGTGTTGAGATTACAGGCGTGAGCCACTGTGCCTGGCTCTCCAGTCCTCTTAAGGAAGAGGTAATCACAGCTGTTGGTGAGGGGCAAGGGTCAGTTACCTTCTTGGGAATAAAGCAGCTTTTAGGGGTTAAGAGAATGGGCAGGTTTTTCAAGTTCACAGTGGTGTGTCGAGTTCCTTCTGCCTAGGGGAGGGCTCTCTGAACTTGAGGCCCAGAGGGGGAGGAGAAGCGAGCTGGCAGATTGGGGAGGAGTCTAGGGGCTTACCGGAGCTCCCCAACAGGATCCAAAGTTTCTCTCTTGGGTAGGATCTGAGCAGAGAGAAGCCTGAGGAACTCTGGACTGTCCTCAGACCCTGAAAACCTGCTTCTGTCCAGGGCAGGACGGGGAGGAGTCAAACAGATGCTTACCCCCTAGGGTCTTAGGTGGCCTTGCCTGACTGCTCTTAGTCCCCTTTCCTTGAAGCCCTGGGTTCCTGGGATGGGGTGATGGGTCTTTTGGGGCCTTACTTCCTGCTGGAGCCTCACCTGCTGGGGCGTGGTCTGGCCCTGGCACAGTCTCCTGAGTGAGTCCCTGCCAGGATGGGAGGCACACAGGCCACCTGGGATAGTCTAAGTTTTTTTTGTTTTTTTTTTCCCCTAACTCCTGTTTGCTGCCTGTTGGGAGTCCTGTGCTCCCAGGCCAGGACAAGGGTATACTTTATCTCCTCACTCTCATTAGTTCAGTTAAGACTTGGGTGGGGGGGTGTGTTCCAACCTGCATGTGAGTAGAGTACCATTAGGGCAACCCTTTCCCATTCTACAAAGGACCTCCTTTTTCCTTTCCCTAAAGCTCAGATCCTCTAAGATGCTTCCTGGAGTATGAGAGGAGGCAGTGCTGGCCTAAAGGTGTAGAGGCTTGGGGGGTCCTGTGACTGGAGATAGATCTGCCTCCTGGGTGGAGCTGTGGGCCTAGAGGAGGAAGGAGGAGCTGTTACCTGACCCCCAGGGAGTAGGATGGTGGACTGTGCTCAGTGGGAGTAGTGCACAAAGGCATGGGCTTGGGCGTCTGCCACACTAGTTTTTTCTTGACCTGGCTTTGCAGCCTATTGCCTCTGTGACCTTGGGCAGCTTACTTACTATTCTTCTAGAACCTCAGTTTCCTCAAGTGAGATGGGGTGGTCAAGCCCATTCAGGGACCAGCTTGTCGGCTGGGCCTGGAGTGAGTATTGGCCCTACGGTAACCAGAATGGAGGTGTTTGTCAATACTCCTCTGGGGTCATTGCCAAGCTGCTCTGCCCCACCCCTTTCGCCAGAGGATTGGGGTGTGTTTGGGGATGGGGCAGGAGGAGAAGGGCTCTGCCTTGGCCTAGCCCTTCTTACCATCTGGTTATTGCATGAGAAACAGAAAGTTCATGGGGGCTATGGAGAGGCTAAGGGTCTGCTGGGTGCCAGACACGCAGGGCTGCCTGGGTCCCTGGGCCTGGAGGGACCTGGAGGGAAGGCCTGGCTCCCGCCCCCACCTGGTTAGTATGGATGCCAGAACAGTCCTGACTGGGCCCTGGCAACGAGTCAGAGGCCCTGGGAAGGCGCCCTGGCGAGGCTGGGCATGCTCCTTCTCCCCAGCCGAGCGGCCTTCGGCCTCTTGCTGCCAGCTCTCTTCTCCCCTGGGAGATACTTGGTTTTCTCTTGGCAGTGCAGGGGCTGCTGGGAAGGGAAGATGGAGCCTGCCAGCTTCTTGGTAGAGCTTGGAGACCTGGGTTACGGGTGCATTTGTCCTCTGGGAGACTGGGGGCCCATCCCCCTCCCTCCCACCAGAACCAGTGACTCTGAAGAAAGCGACAGCCGCCAGGTCACCTGCAGGGGGCAGCAGGAGCCTGAGGGCCCAGCCAGCCACTTGAGTCAGGAGGCAGGCAGGGCATTCAGTGTCTGCGACTGGTGGACCGGGGCGGCTGCCTCATGGCCTGGGCCTGGGTCTGCATCAGCTGTTGCCGGCAACTGGCTGAAGCGGTCCTGCCCACTCCTACCGTGGTTGGAGCTGAGGAGAGGGCTCCTTTGCTGGGCCCTGCCCCTACCAATCAATCTCCTAGGCCCTCGATCCAGAGGGGTCCAGGTACCCCAAATATCGGACTTTCCTGTCCCCCTAGCGGCTTTGCCAGCAGTGACCCCCCTTCCGGGGAATGTAGGGAGGTGGGCCTGAGTTCTTGTAGCACCCTCCCGTGGGGTCCTGGAGCCACCAGAGCCTTCGGGCCCACAGCCGTCCTTCTAGCCGACCTTGAGCGCGATGCAAGGCAGGGGGAGTGTGCCCTTCCTGGGGCCGCCCCGGCAGGCCTGGCCCCACTGAAACCCGAAGCCAGCCGGAGCTCCAGCCCTAGGCTGACCAGCTGCATTAGGGCAAGAGTAGCAGCAGAGGCTGGAACAAGAGACACGGGCAGTGCTGGGCCTGAGCCGGAGAGCTGCCATGGCAGGCCTGAGACTCCAGAACCAAGGAGAGGGCTGCTGCCAACCACATCAGGTGGGCACTGGGGACCTTGTGCGTGGACCAGCTGACCAGCTTTTTGCTGGGGAGATCACTTGGCTTTCATCCAGTGGTGGGGAGTCCTTCAGGTTTCCTTAGAGGAGGGAGGAGGGACAGGGCAGGCTGTCCTGGGGAAAGGAAGCTCCTGGGAGCCATCCATATTCTTTTGAAATCTGATCAAGGAATAGATTATCCCCTAAGGGTGGTGGGCTCCCTGGGCTGGGAAGGGAGGAGAGTGGGAGCTATGACTACCTTGCCTTGTCTTCCCTCTTCTCGTCTGTGTCCTCTCCATTCTAGACATGCCAAGGAGCATAAGCTCCCTGTCTAGGACCGAGTCTCCGGCTTTCCACTTCTGGGATCTCAGAACTCAAAACTGCAACTGCGCTCTGTATTGGGTGGGGGCCCTTCCTATTCCCCCCTTCATCCTAAGGGCTTGCCAGCCACAAGGCCTTTCTCAGTCCCAGCAGGGGGAAGTTCTTCCTTCTATCTGCCATTCCTCTTGCTGCTTTTTGAAAGCTGACCAACCACTACCCCTCCTGTCTCTGTATGCTCTGTCATTAGAATTAGGCAGGTGTTAACTTGCTGCTCACACAATAGGGGATTGGGGTTTCCCCTGCCTGGGGCTGTTTGGTCACTGGAAGGGGGACATCCCTGTGGTTCTTGGGAGTTTCACTGCAGATTTGGAGAAGGTGTGATGGCAATGCAGGGACAATGACAGACACAGGTAGTTCACAGTGGCCGGGGTTGAGGACAGTACGGTGTTGTTGGGTGTGGGCTTGGAAGGAAATCTGGGCTCCATTCCGACTTGATGACCTTGGACCAGACTCTGTACCTTTCTGTGCCTCAGATACCCTTATTTGGGGAAGGGGGAAGGGGACTCTATCTGCGCTCCTAGAGGTCCTCTTTCTCACTAAGTTATGGGGATACAGAGAGGGGAAGAGTCCCCTGGCATGTTTTTCCATACTGGGCTGATCCCTTTCCTGAGGTCCCTGTTCCATGTGTCTGATGGGTCTGGGTTGGGACCACACAGTTCTGGGGAAATGCACCCTGTCCCCACTCCTGACAGCTGGGTAGGGAAGGGGAAGTAGGGTCTGGATGGAATGGGCAGAGCTAGGCGAGCTGATGGCTGATGGGCAGATCTGGGGCCCAAGGTCCCTGTTTGCCAAATGGACGTTCAGGCAGGCCTGTGTTTTGCTGGAGGGTTTCTGAGAAGAGGTCCTCAGCTCCCTGGGGCAGGGAGGAATCCCCTAGTGCCTGGGGCAGGGGGATGAAAGGTCTCGGTCACCTGCTCTCTCCCTTCCCCAGCAGACGAGGTGGGTGCTGTCCACAAACATTGGACTAGAGGTTTTCTGTCATTAATCATTACTTTGATGCCTTTTTGGTGAGCCAGGGCAAGATAGAAGGTGGGAGATAGAGCTGCTGGTGTGGATGGCTACCCTGGATGCAGCATTATGTTTGCTCTGGGAATTATGGTGGTGGGGGGTGAGGGGTTGTGGTTTTACCCTCAGGTGTTGTTTGGGTGGGCTTTCAAGAAGAGGGTTTGCTCTATTGAATGGGGTGTCAGGGGCAGCAGAGGTGGGTGGGAAGGTGTGGGGTGTTCTCAGGCCACTGGAAAGTGGCTTGGTGTAGCTAGACCTCAGCCAGCAGGCAGGAGCTGAGGCTGACTTAGTTGGTGCTGGCTTCAAAGGCTTGAGTTTCAATGGTGGATTTCTTAGACAGGTTCTAGTTGGCACCCTTGAAGTTGGAGAAATGCTTGCACCTAGGGTGCAAAGGCTGAGCCCCATGGGTCACTTGGGAGATTTAGGGTGGGTGACTAGGTAGGAGGTAGGGGTTTCACAGAGTGGGGGCCAGTTTGTGGAGGAAGATGAATTCCATCCCTGCAAGATGAGTCTTCCATGATGCCTGAGGGACAGCTGTGTGCGGATGCCTGGGAGGCAGCTGTCTCCAGGTTCTGAGAAGCTTGATCGAGGCCAGGATTGGCCATGTGAGCTGTCAGGCAGGAGGATGTTTGAAGCCATGGGAGAGGGTGAGGTGAGAACTGGAAAAGCTGGGGCCCTGCTCAGGACTGGTGGAAAGGGGTGGAGCTGGAGATGGAGAGACAGGGTTGCCACTTTGGTCAGGGAAGAGGAGGAAGAAGTGGGGGATAGTATGGGATGCTGTTGGGAAGCCAGACGTGTTAGGGCTGGAGAAGATCTTTGGGCTTGGCCCTAAGGGTTGCGTTGGTGACTCTGGTTTGGGCAGTGTGCTTAGAAACTGGACTGTGGTGGGCTGAGGAACAGGATGGGAAGGGAGGGCATAGAATGTGGAAGGGAGAAGGTAATGTCTTGCAGGTATGCTGAGGGTGAGGTGGGGTTGTAGGGCCAAGGCTCGGGAGGGCGTGCAGGTGCCATTTGGTAAGGCATGCCTACCTTGGGATGGGGCGGACGGCCCCTCCTGGCCACCTGGGCCTATCTGACTCAGCTCCATTCTTATCAACCCCAGAGCCGCCATCAGTCATGCTCTTGAATGGGGACTGCCCAGAGAGCATGAAGAAGGAGGAGGGAGCAGCCGAGCCACCCAGGGAGAATGGGTTGGATGAGGCCGAGCCAGGAGATGAGACCACTGGCCAGGAAGTCATTGTCATTCAGGACACGGGCTTTTCTGTGAAGATTCTGGCCCCTGGGATCGAACCCTTCTCCCTGCAGGTGAGATGGAGGAAGGGTTGCTGGGTCTCAGGCATGAGCCTGCTGGGGAGGGTGAGCCCAGCAAGTCGAGCCTTGCCCTTGCTCCTCCTGGCCCTGTGTTGTAGACAGGAGACTGAGGTTCCTCTGCTTTGCCAGGGGTCCCTCAGCCAGTGTGGTAGATGTGGGTATCAAGTCCAGGTTCAGGTCATTACCCATTGCTGGAGGACAGCTACCAGGTGGGACTGCCCGTCATGTTCAGGGAGAGGAGTGATAGTGACTGAGTAGGTGTCATGGTCCCAGGACTCCCTAACCTCTTGCTCTGTGACTCCAGGCAAGTCACCTCTCTCTGGGCTGTGACTTTTCCGTCTGCTATTGAGTGGACTCCAAGGACACAGCCAACCCAGAGGTCTTGCAGACTGGTAACTTAGCAGGGAACCAGGCTCTCTTATGTCCTCTGTGCCCACAGACTTGAGCCCCAGAGTGTCTCTTCTGGAAGGCAAAAGCCATTTGCCCTGGGAACCTCAGCACTGGGCAAGGAAAGAGGCAAGGCTGCCATTTCTCTCCCCCTGTTCTTCCATCTCTCCCAAGAGATTTCTCTTGTCTGCCGGAATAGTCAGTAGGGCCAGGATCTTTCCTGTACATGCACAGGTGCAGATAAGCATGGTGTGTATTGATGGGGCCTAGAATTTAAAAGCCAAAAGTGGGGAACTAAGTTTTTTCAGCATTTATTCTTAGGACCCAGGAACTTAGGGCTGGCTACAAGGGGGTATGTCCTTGCTCCCTGCCATGTGCCCTCTCACCAGGGTAGATGGGTCCTTCTCTCTGGCAGGTGTCCCCCCAGGAGATGGTACAGGAAATTCACCAGGTGCTCATGGACCGAGAAGACACGTGTCACCGCACCTGCTTCTCGTTGCACCTGGATGGTAACATGCTGGACCACTTCTCAGAGCTGCGCAGTGTCGAGGGGCTTCAGGAGGGCTCAGTGCTCCGTGTGGTGGAAGGTTGGTCCAGCACTTGGGCAGCTTGCCCAGGGGAGGGTCCTTGAGGCAGGGCCAGACAGGGCTTCATCACCTCTGCTGAAGTCTCTGTGTCATAGAGAGCATGTGGAGGCAGGATTGGAGCATAGATCTGCCTCTCGGGCTGTCACGCCTGCATCCTCCAACTTCATGACCCATGGTTTTAAGTATAGGGTTGTGGCTGGGCATGGTGGCTCATGTCTATAATCCCAGCACTTTGGGAGGCTGAGGTGAGAGGATTGCCCAAGCTCACAGGTTCGAGACCAACCTGGGCAACTTGGCAAGACCTCATCTCTACATTAAATCAAAAAAATTAACCAGACGTGGTGGCGTATGCCTGTAATTCCAGCTACTTGGAAGGCTGAGGCAGAAGGATCATCTGAGCCCAGCAGGTCAAGGCTACGGTGGCCGTAAGTGTGCCACTGCGCTCCAACCTGGGTGACAGAGTGAGACTCCAAATCAAAAGAAAACAGGTTCATGATTCAAAAACAAAGCAGATAGTACCAAGCCAGGGCTAAAAATCAGCATGATGGAATTCTGTAAAGATACATGATAAGTCTCATAGACCTTGAGTGAGGAGGTTTAGCCTGACACAGCACCATGAGGTGGTGTGGTGAGAGTGGCTTGGTTGTAAAATAAAAACTCCTGTGGATTCAAGTTCCCTGCGGAGAAGCCACTCAAGTTCCAAGTTCCCAGGGCCTCTCTGCTTGTTAAGAGCAATTGTGGAAAAAGTCTAGCTCAGTGTTGCCCATTGTTGATCACAGAACCTCTCCCTCCTCCCCCAAAACAACCACCATCAAAATCCCAGGAGGCACACATTGGGGAATATTGTTGAAGTTGGGGGCCCTGGGAAGTCCTTGGTCCACTCCTCTGAGTGGTCCACCCCTGGGAGAGCAGGCCCGGCAGCTCCAAAGGCCCCGCCTATCCAAGACACTAGTGCACAAAAAGCAGGTGGCCTTGTGGGCTCCCCAAGACCTTAGTGTTTTTCAAGAGGCATTTGATAGAAGATCTCTTGGAAAACTCACGGGTTCGAGACCAACCTGGGCAACTTGGGATCTCTGCCCACCAGCAGACAGGAGTATGTGTTGCAACCAGAACTGCAGCTTATGTGTTCATAGTGAAATTTGAAAATGGAACCCTGATGTTGAAAATAAAAACCACCCATGATAGTACCCTTATAAACTATTTTCTATGCTAGCCAGGTTGTTCCAGGGTACAGAGCTCTGATCACACCTGCCCCTCTTTCCCTGACAGAGCCATACACAGTGCGCGAGGCCCGCATCCACGTGCGCCATGTCCGTGACCTGCTCAAAAGCCTGGACCCATCAGATGCCTTCAACGGGGTTGACTGCAATTCCTTGTCCTTCCTGAGTGTCTTTACAAATGGCGACCTGGGAGGTGCAGGAGGCATTGGGACTGGGATTGGGCCCAGGGGCTGGAAGCAAGGAGGCCAGGGGCTAGTGAAGGGGCTGAGGGCCAGGCCACATAGAGGGGCCCGGGCGGAGGTGCCCAGACCAGAGCCACACTTAAGTAGAGAGACAGCTAGCTGGTCCTGGGTGGCCCTGTGCTGACCTCCAGCCTCGGGTCCCTCAGACAGCGGGAAGCGGAAGAAGGGCTTGGAGATGGATCCCATTGACTGCACACCGCCTGAGTACATCCTGCCAGGGAGCCGGGAGCGGCCATTGTGTCCCCTGCAGCCCCAAAACCGGGACTGGAAGGTAGGACTGCCGCGGGGAGTGAGGAGGAGGGTCACCCGGTGGTGGGAGGCCACGCACCAGGAGGTCCAGCCTACTCGTGCTCTGCCATTCCTGCAGCCCTTGCAGTGCTTAAAAGTGCTCACCATGAGTGGCTGGAACCCACCCCCTGGGAACCGCAAGATGCACGGGGACCTCATGTACCTGTTTGTGATCACAGCTGAGGACCGGCAAGTTAGCATTACCGCATCCACGCGGGGCTTCTACTTGAACCAGTGAGTCCCTGCCAGCCCACCGCGGGCCCCGGGTGTGCACCTGTCCCCAGTCTGGGCAGATACTGGGGCACCCGCTCAGGGAGCACCTCTTCCTGCAGGTCCACAGCCTATCACTTCAACCCCAAGCCCGCCAGCCCTCGCTTCCTCAGCCATTCCCTCGTGGAGCTGCTCAACCAGATCAGCCCGACCTTCAAAAAAAACTTTGCTGTGCTGCAGAAGAAAAGGTAACGCCTTCATCTTGTCCTGCCCCTGTCTTGTCCCATGTCACATGGGTGTATGGGTGAACCGACTTGTCTGAGTTCCAGTGCTTCTGCCCTAAGAGACTGCCCCCGGTGCCTGAGTCTCCCTCAGGGAACTGTCAGCTAACGCTGAGACAGCAGCCCTTGAAGAGGACGTCATCTTGACTCTTCAGGGCATGTGTCAGGCAGGGAAATGACAGAACAGGTGGGGGCCCCACAGAAGAAGGGCTCTATTCTTGGTGGGCTGCCCCATCTTCTCCCCTCCTGCTCACCACAGGGTCCAGCGCCACCCATTCGAGAGGATTGCTACCCCATTCCAGGTGTATAGCTGGACGGCCCCCCAGGCAGAACACGCCATGGACTGCGTGCGTGCAGAGGATGCTTACACTTCGAGACTGGGCTATGAAGAGCACATTCCTGGACAGGTGCCGGCAGCCTGGCCCTGCCCTCACTAGGCACCCCCTCCCTTCCTGGGTGCCAGGCAGGGCTCTGTGCACTTCCCTGGAGGCTCTGTGCTTGTGTCCATTTGGGATTCTGGGGCTGTCCATGGGGAGGTGGAAGAAGGACTTCTCAGAGCAGTTCATGGGGCACAGACTGAGCCTGTGTGTCTCTTCCTGGTCCTTCTGCAGACCCGGGACTGGAATGAGGAGCTGCAGACGACAAGGGAACTGCCCCGCAAAAACCTGCCTGAGCGGCTGCTTCGAGAAAGAGCCATATTCAAGGTGCCTGCAGCCCCTGGTGACTGACAACCTCAGGCCCACCCACACCTGCTGTCAGGTTTTGTGGACAGGAGGAGAGTGAGGGAAGCTGGGGTGGGTGTGCGGCCCTGTCAGGTGCCCTGGAGGCTGATCAGGGTCCCCTGCAAGGTCTTTTAGCCTCTGCCTCCCAGCAGCCTACCCCTGTACCTTTTCCTGGCCTTTTTGTGATTTGGAGTTCCTGGGAGGATCGGGCTCTACTTCCCATCTGGGTTGAGTGTCCAGGGCTGTTCAGCTTCCTGCCCTCCACCGCAGATTGCTATGGGACCTTCTTCTGGCTCAACCATGATCCACTTGGGGCAGGGGCTTATTTGTACAACATCTTCAGCTTGCTGGGGTTTAAGAGCTATTAGTATTGTTATGAAGAAAGAAAACTGGGGAAAAAATAGTTGCTTTAAAAAAGATTTCCGTGGTCTTGCTGCCCAGAGATGATAATGATAGAAGTAAGAGCTATAATTTCTTGGGTACTTGAGGATGATGCCAGTTGCTTTATAGACATGATTTCCTATAATCTTTAGGATGTCTTGTAGATGTCATTACTTTTTTTTTTTTTTTGAGTTGGAGTCTCACTCCGTCGCCCAAACTGTATTGCAGTGGCCGCTCCCAGCCACCGCAGCCTCGACCTGCTGGGCTCTGGCGATCCTTCCGCCTCAGCCTTCCACGTAGCTGGAACTACAGGCGCGCGCTACCATGCCCGGCTAATTTTTTGATTTATTGTAGAGATGAGGTCTCGCCAAGTTGCCCGGGTGAGTCTCGAACCCACAGGCTCAGACAATCCACTCACCTCAGCCTCCCAAAGCACTGGGATTACAGGCTGAGCCACCAAGCCCGGCTGATGTCATTACTTTTATTGTCTCTGTTTCATAGATGAGAAAACTAGATCTGAGAGTTTGCTTGTCCAAGTTCACCTGGCACGTAACTGGTGGATCCCACACCTGCTTCATTCCTCACACTCCTTGTTAGTCACTAAGCTCTGCTCTCTCCTGAAGTATAAATGTTTACTTTTTGTAACAAATGGTTTTCTTGCCCTTTTCTAAATATGAGGAAACAGGCTAGGGTTCCTGCTCCCAGTGCAGGCCTGGTTGCTTCCACTATGTAGGTGAGCTTGGCCAGGTGGATGCAGCCTGAGACTCTTGTGGGTGGGTCCTCTCACCTCCCAACCTTGGCTTTTCCCAGGTGCACAGCGACTTCACGGCCGCAGCCACACGGGGTGCCATGGCAGTCATTGACGGCAACGTCATGGCCATCAATCCCAGCGAGGAGACCAAGATGCAGATGTTTATCTGGAACAACATCTTCTTCAGCCTAGGCTTTGACGTCCGTGACCACTACAAGGACTTTGGTGGGGACGTGGCAGCCTACGTAGCACCCACCAACGACCTCAATGGCGTGCGCACATACAACGCAGTGGATGTGGAGGGGCTGTACACGCTGGGCACGGTGGTGGTAGATTACCGTGGCTACCGGGTCACGGCCCAGTCCATCATCCCTGGCATCCTGGAGCGGGACCAGGAGCAGAGTGTCATCTATGGCTCCATTGACTTTGGCAAGACAGTGGTGTCACACCCACGGTACCTGGAGCTGCTGGAGCGCACCAGCCGGCCCCTCAAGATCCTGCGGCACTGGGTGCTTAATGACCATGACGAGGAGGTGGAGCTATGCTCCTCAGTCGAGTGCAAGGGCATCATCGGCAATGACGGGCGCCATTACATCCTTGACCTGCTGCGTACCTTCCCCCCTGACCTCAACTTCCTACCTGTGCCCAGCGAGGAGCTGCCTGAGGAGTGCACCCGCGCTGGCTTCCCCCGCACCCACCGGCACAAGCTCTGCTGCCTGCGCCAGGAGCTGGTGGATGCCTTCGTGGAACACAGGTGAGGAGCAGGCTCGAAGGTGCCAGGGGGACATGGGCATCCTGGGTTCTTCTGAGGCTGGGTCTCTGAAGGGAGAACCTCTGGAAGGTGAAGAAGGGTTTGTTCTGGCCACACTCACTGGAGCCCCCTTCCGCCTTCTCCCACCTCCTGCTATCAGGCTCTCAAATGCAGAGATCAGGGCTTTACGTTGGTTGTGAACTAGTGAGTAGCCAAACCAGTGACTTGGCTGAAGCGGTGCTGTCCTTCTTTTTTGTTGTTGTTAATTTAATTTAATTTAATTTTTTTTTTTTGAGTCAGAATCTCACTCTGTTGCCCAGACTGGAGTGCAGTGGCCGCTCCCGGCCACCGCAGCCTCGACCTGCTGGGCTTCAGCAATCCTTCCACCTCAGTCTTCCAAGTAGCTGGGACTATAGGCACGCGCTACCACACCCGGCTAATTTTTTGATTTATTGTAGAGATGAGGTCTCATCAAGTTGCCCAGGCGGGTCTCGAACCCGCGGGCTCAGGCAATTCACTCACCTTGGCCTCCCAAAGCGCAGGATTACAGGCTGAGCCACCAAGCCCAGCCTTGTTAATTTTAAAAATTAAAAAATTTTTGCAACCCGGGAGCATAGATTCAAATTGCTCTGGATATACCCTCCCCGGTGCGGTTTTCTTTTCTTTCCTTTTTTTTTTTTCTTTAAGTCAGAGTCTCACTCTGTCACCCAGGCTGGAGTGCAGTGGCATACTCCTGGCCACCACAGCCTCAACCTGCTGGGCTCAGGCAATCCTTCCGCCTCAGTCTTCCAAGTAGCTGGAACTTCAGGCACATACCACCATGCCCAGCTAGTTTTTTGATTTATTGAAGAGATGAAGTTTCACCAAGTTGCCCAGGCTGGTCTCGAACCCATGGGCCACTGTACCCAGCCAGTGCTGTTTTCATTCTTTCTTTTTTTTTTAATAATAGAAACTTTATTCTTTTCATTTCTTCTTTTCTTACCAAATAAAAGGGCCAGGTATGACAAAAGTTTCAAATTGGTGCTGTTTTCTTTTTTTTTGAGTTGGAGTTTCACTCTGTCGCCCAGACTGGAGTGCAGTGGCCGCTCCCGGCCACCGCAGCCTCGACCTGTTGGGCTCCGGCGATCCTTCTGCCTCAGCCTTCCAAGTAGCCGGAATTACAGGCATGCGCTACCACGCTCGGCTGATTTTTTTTTTTTATTTATTGTAGAGATGAGGTCTTGCTGCCCAGGCGGGTCTCGAACCCTCGGGCTCAGGCAGTTCACTCACCTCAGCCTCCCAAAGGCGCGGGATTACAGGCTGAGCCACCGAGCCCAGCTTTTTTTTTTTTTTTTTGAGTTGGCGTCTCAGTCGCTCAAACTGGAGTGCTGTGGCTGCTCCCGGCCACCACAGCCTCGCCTGCTGGGCTCCGGCAATCCTTCCACCTCAGCCTTCCAAGTAGTTGGAACTACAGGCATGCGCTACCACACCCGGCTAATTTTTGATTTATTGTAGAGATGAGGTCTCACCAAGTTGCCCAGGCAGGTCTCAAACCCGTGGGCTCAGGCAGTTCACTCACCTTGGCCTCCCAAAGCGCTGGGATTATAGACTGAGCCAGCGAGCCTGGCCGGTGCTGTTTTCTTTTTCTTTTTTTTTTTTTTGAGTTGGAGTCTCACTCTGTCGCCCAGACTGGAGTGCAGTGGCCACTCCTGACCACCACAGCCTCGACCTGCTGGGCTCCAGCGATCCTTCCGCCTCAGCCTTCCGAGTAGCCGGAATTACAGGCGTGTACTACCATGCCCGGCTAATTTTTTGATTTATTGTAGAGACGAGGTCTCGCCTGCCCAGGCGGGTCTCGAACCCGCGGGCTCAGGTAATCCACTCATCTCAGCCTCCCAAAGGCGCAGGATTACAGGCTGAGCCACCGAGCCCAACTGGTGCTGTTTTCTTAAGGAGCATTTATAAGTCTGGGGGGGGTTGTGACTGTCATGATACCGGGGCTGGCAGGTGGGGTACCGGGTGTTGTGCTGCTGGTTATAGTGCTTAGGAGTTGGCCTTGTCAGTGAATCTTTCTATCTCAAAATGTCAGTGGCATTCCTGTTGGGAGTCCTGGCCTGGATGGGGAGCCCCTCTTCCTGCACTCCCCATATACCCTGGCTGTCTTCTTCCTGTCTGGAGAGATCTTGGTTTTTGCTATGACCTGCTGCTGTTGGGTACGTGCATACACACATTGACGCTTGCACGTGGGGCAGGATATGGCCCCATGCCCACAGGGTTTCCAGCCACAACATTCCTCATCCCCAGCAGACCAGGAGCCCGGGACCTGGCTCTGGTTTCTGCAGCTAGCAGGAAGCTGTGGGGCCAGCAGAGCTTCCAGATACCCCCTTCCCATGTCCTGTTCTGCCCTGTCTGCTGCGCTCCAGGTATCTCCTCTTCATGAAGCTGGCTGCCCTGCAGCTGATGCAGCAGAAAGCCAGCAAGCTGGAGAACCCCACCTGCCTGGAAAATGGTGGGCCTCCCTCCTTGGAGTCCAAGCCTGTAGACCCTCCAGTGCCCGAGGTGGGAAGTGAGGAGGAGGGCAGCAGTGCTAGTGGCCTGGCCAAGGTGAAGGAACTGGCGGAGACGATTGCTGCAGATGACGGCACAGGTGTGGCTGCTGTGGATGTTGGGGGGAGGCCCCTAGCCTGTCCTGGTGGCTTGTGATCCGGTCCCTGAGAGAGACTGGTAGCTACCTCTGCAAGGAGCTGGTGGGTAGTGAGGCTTGGGGCAGCCCAGCCCTGCCATCGGCAGAGTGGGGCCGCCTCCCATCGGGCCATGTCTCCACAGCAGACCCTCGCAGCCGGGAGGTGATCCGTAACGCATGCAAGGCAGTTGGCTCTATCAGCAGCACGGCCTTCGACATCCGCTTCAACCCGGACATCTTCTCGCCAGGCAAGCAGTCAGGGTTGGCCAGTGCCAGAGCCCCACAGGGCGTGGCAGAGGCTTGTGGGAGAGCCTGGGGCCCTTGATGCTTGTCGGCCCATCCTCCCATCTGGTGCTGCTCTCACTAGTGCCACGTGACGTCTCCTTTGCTACCTTCTTCCTCCCTTCTGCCTGGTTCAAGCCTCTCTGCTCTCCCTCCTCCAGGGGTTCGCTTCCCTGAGTCCTGCCAGGATGAAGTTCGGGACCAGAAGCAGCTGCTGAAAGATGCGGCTGCCTTCTTGCTCTCCTGCCAGATCCCTGGCTTGGTGAGGGAGGGGCCACAAGGGTAGGCGGGGGGCTTGCCTGGAGGGTGCTGCTGCAGGCCCTGGTGCCTCATTCATCCCCGCCTCAGAAGCTTGGGCACCATGGCCGTGACTTCTTGAGCTTTTCCTGACCTGCGGGTCAGACAGGGCAGAGTGGTCATCCCCATTTTATAGACAGACATCCCAGCCGTGAGAGGTCAGGGCAGGCATCAGGCTCAGACTCTGCCCTGCTGAACCCATTGGGTGGGCTGGTGTCTAGGAATCTGGTCCTCTGAGCCCTGTGTTGCAGGGGGCTGAGGGCTGGGGTGGGAGCTAGGTGGGGTTTCCCATCCTCCTTGTCCCACAGGCCCTGTGTCTGGGCCCTAGGATGGCAGGTTCGCGCTTCCTACCAAGGCAGGCAGCCCTGGCTCAGCCTGGAGCCTCCCAGGCTCAGGACATAGGGGCAGCAGTAAAATTGTAGCCCCCAAGTGGGCACCTTGGCTCTTTGCCATACAGACAGAGAGGAGCCTGTTGGTTCTCAGTTCTTTGCCCACACCTCTGTCCCTGTGTCCTGTAGGAGGGGGACTGCTCTCCTGGAGCTTGTGCCAGAGACTGGGGCAAGTTCTCATGTCCTGCTGCTGCTTTATCTCCTCCCTTCTTTCCTGATGGAGCTGGGGGCTTAGTCCTCTACTTCCCTCAAGGCCCAAGATAGCTGCACTCCTCTGGGAAGACCCAGGGGGGTGGAGGCAGAGGCCCTGGGCTGGGGACCTGACCTGTTGCAGCCCGCAGGTGAAGGACTGCACGGAGCATGCAGTGCTGCCCATGGACGGGGCCACGCTGGCAGAGGTGATGCGCCAGCGTGGCATCAACATGCGCTACCTGGGCAAGGTGCTGGACTTGGTGCTCCGGAGCCCAGCCCGGGACCAGCTGGACCACATCTATGTGAGTGGTGCCTGGGGTGGACCAGGAGACAGGTGGAGCCAGAACAGAGGCCTGGCCAAGCTTGACCAAGACTTCCCTTTTTGAATCCTTTCAGAAAATTGGCATTGGAGAACTCATCACCCGCTCTGCCAAGCACATCTTCAAGACATACTTACAGGTGCCACTCCTGCACTCCCTGGGTGGTGGGGGCATCAGGGAAGAGCTCGGGTTGGAGCTGAGGGCTCTTGTGACTTTGGTCAAACCCTCCCTTGCAGGGAGTCGAGCTCTCGGGCCTCTCAGCTGCCATCAGCCACTTCCTGAACTGCTTCCTGAGCTCTTACCCCAACCCTGTGGCCCACCTGCCTGCTGACGAGCTGGTCTCCAAGAAGAGAAACAAAAGGAGGAAAAACCGGCCCCCAGGGGCTGCGGATAACACAGCCTGGGCTGTCATGACCCCCCAGGAGCTCTGGAAGAACATCTGCCAGGAGGCTAAGAACTACTTCGACTTTGCCCTTGAGTGGTACGTGCATGGTGAGGCTGGGGCAGGCACAGGGTGAGTGGAATCAGTGGGGCTGGGGAGACGCAGCAGGCCACCAGGCCCAGCTGGCATCTGGGGCAGTCATAGGGCAGCCAAGTCTGGAGAAGAAGGAAGAGCCACTGTGGAGGACTACTTGTTTAGGGACGGGCTGGGAGCAGCTAGTTTGGATGCTGGAGGATGAGAGTGGCTGGGAGGGGCTCCTGGGCTGGGTGGGGAAGCAGCCATTTTGGGGGGCCAGACAGAACTGGGCTACTCAGGCCCACCTGCTCACCTCCCCAGTGAGACTGTGGACCAGGCCATGGAGACCTACGGCCTGCAGAAGATAACACTACTGCGGGAGATCTCACTGAAAACCGGAATCCAGGTGGGCACAGTCCTCAGTGTCCCTGCTGTTCCCCAGCCCTATGGACTCCCCACCTTGCTAGGGCCAGGAGGTGGCTTTCTCGTGGCAGTCATCTCTGCACACATGTCAGTGGGTTGGGAGGTACAGGGGGTGCTGGCACATCGGAGCTCGGGCTGAGGTTGCTTGTGGGTGCTGGACTTACCCCCAGGTCCTGCTGAAGGAGTACAGCTTCGACAGCCGCCACAAGCCCGCCTTCACCGAGGAGGACGTTCTCAACATCTTTCCCGTGGTCAAGCATGTCAACCCCAAGGCCTCGGATGCCTTCCATTTCTTCCAGAGCGGGCAGGCCAAAGTTCAGCAGGGTGTGTGGCCAGGTGGGACTGGGTGGAAGTGGGGGCTTCCTTCACCCTGTCCTAACCGTGCCACCCTTGGGGGTGCCCTGCAGGCTTCCTGAAAGAGGGCTGTGAGCTCATCAACGAAGCCCTGAACCTGTTTAACAACGTGTACGGAGCTATGCACGTGGAGATCTGCGCCTGCTTGCGCCTACTTGCCCGTCTCCACTACATTATGGGTGACTACGCTGAGGTGGGCCTCCAGCACCCTCTGGGCTGTGTGAGCAAAGGCCTTGGGTTTAGGCCTGGCATTGGGGTATGGCCAGTGAGGCGTCATTCCCTGTGGTAGCAGGAGATGGGAGTCCGGTGCTGGAGCCCAGTCCTAGGGGTTAGGTGGCTGCTCACCTCACCCAGGGCTCTGTGTGGAGGAGCAGATAGAAGTCAGGGAGACCCGGGAGAGTCACTTGTTCTATCTGGGCTTCTAGCTCTGCTCCTCTGAAATTGTGGCCTTGAGAGAGCTGGGAGCCTGCTGTGCTGCAGTGAGATGGGTGAAGTGAGGGGACTGCAGGGACGTTTGCGAGACTCCACGAGGGAAAGGCTGGCACGGCACCGAGTGAAAGGCCCAGCGCTGTGTGGCCTTGTGGCAGCCTTGCCTGGCCTCAGACTTGGGGAGGCTGTTTTGGGGTCAGCATGCCTAGGCTCCCCACTTTCCCCTCAGTCAAAGGGACTGTTTTTTGATTACGTTTGGGTTCTTAAAAAATATTTCATTGTTAGTAGTTTTAGATTTGTACGTGGATTTGATAGATTTTGTTAGGGAGAAAAGGGCTTAGGCTTAAGACAGCAGACTTTTAGAAGGTCTCAGTGGAGCATACTTTCATGTCACAACAGCTGATGCTGACGCCCCTCCGCTGCCTTTTACGCAAAGTACAAATCAAAAGCACAGCCAGGGCTACAAGGCTACGCTGTGTGGGGCTGCTTGCTGGCCAGGGGTCGGGCCAGGCGGACTTGGTGTGCGGCAGGGCCCCCCCTGCACAGCCAACCCTGCCTCTCCCCAGGCCCTGAGTAACCAACAGAAGGCGGTGCTGATGAGTGAGCGAGTGATGGGCATCGAGCACCCCAACACCATCCAGGAATACGTGAGTGCTGTCTGGGGCCGGGTCTGCACAGGGTGGGGCCTGCAGCTGTGCTGATCTGTCATGGCTCCGCCTGCAGATGCACCTGGCCCTCTACTGCTTCGCCAGCAGCCAGCTGTCCACGGCCCTGAGCCTGCTGTACCGCGCCCGCTACCTCATGCTGCTCGTGTTCGGGGAAGACCACCCTGAGATGGCACTGCTGGACGTGAGTGCCGGGGAGGGGGGCAGCAGAGATTCGCCTCTGTCCCGGAGGATTGGGAACTGACCGGCCCTCCTGACTGCCCCCAGAACAACATTGGGCTGGTGCTGCATGGAGTGATGGAGTATGACCTGTCGCTGCGCTTCCTGGAGAACGCGTTGGCTGTCAGCACCAAGTACCACGGGCCCAAGGCCCTCAAGGTGGCCCTCAGGTGAGGAAGGCTGCGTGACCCATACTCCCAGGCCACAGGGCCTGGGGAGCACTTGGCAGCGGGCAGGGGAAGCATCCAGTGCTCTGTCTCCATTCGACTCCTGAGCACCTTCTCTCTCTCACCTTCCACCTCTTCTCTGAGCCCTGAACTGATGTTCTCCTGGTTAGATTCTAGAGGGCTCTAGAGGGAAACCCACGTGGCCCCAACTCAGGCCCCCACTGCCCCAGCCCACTCATGTCCTCCCTCGCCCCGCATGCCATACCTCCCGGCAGCCACCACCTTGTTGCTCGGGTCTATGAGAGCAAAGCTGAGTTCCGGTCGGCCCTGCAGCATGAAAAGGAAGGCTACACCATCTACAAGACCCAGGTGGGTTGTGGCAGGGGTGGGTTGGGGGCGGGGCTGGGCCTGGGCCTGTGGGCTGTGGACAGCCTGAGCTTCCTGGCTCTCCCCTCTCCCCTGCAGCTGGGCGAGGACCATGAGAAGACCAAGGAGAGCTCTGAGTACCTCAAGTGCCTGACCCAGCAGGCTGTGGCCCTGCAACGCACCATGAATGAGATCTACCGCAATGGCTCCAGTGCCAACATCTCACCCCTCAAGGTATGTCTCTGGGTATAGCCGGGCCGCCCCAACCTGAGGAGGATGAGCCTCGCTCACAAGCTGTCCTCCCCACTGCCCCCTCAGTTCACAGCTCCCAGCATGGCCAGCGTTTTGGAGCAGCTCAACGTCATCAATGGCATCCTCTTCATTCCTCTCAGGTGAGGCCCTGCCATGCTCCCCACCCTGCTTGGAAGTTGGCCTTTAGCTTCTTCTTTGTTAAAATGCATCAACATGGCTCAGAATTCAGAGTGTAGGTAGTGATGCGAAGTTCCTTGTGAATCCTTCTAGAAATACTCAGTGCCTAATTGAGCAAATACGTACCTGTGATCTTTCGCCCCTTTTTTTTAAAACTTAAAATTGTAGCATACCATGCACAATTTTGTTTTTTTTTTTTTTTTAGAGACAGGGTCTTGCTCTGTCACCCAGGCTGGAGTGCACTGGCATGATCATGACTCACTGCAACTTGAACTCCTGGGTTCAAGTGATCCTCCCACCTCAGCTTCCTCAAGTGCTGGGATTACAGGCTTGAGCCACCAGGCCTGGCCAATTTTTTCTTTTTTTAACTTCCTAGTACACCTTGGTAGTCTTTCAGTACCTAAAAAGCAGCCTCATTCCTTCCCTGACTGCCTCCCATTCACAGGGTGTGCCTAAGGAGCAGGCCCGGAGGATCTCCACGGGTGCCTTAGGGGCCCCTCACCTGCTGCCTCCCTTCCATGTGTGGCTGTGGCTTTGGTCAGTCAGGAGTGCTAGCACCCTGTCCCACTCCTGTTTTCTCTACCTAATCTGGTGGAGAGGAGGCCACAGAGGAACTGGTGCGAGGGAGCTGTGGATTCCTTACTTTCTCAGTATTAGGGACCTTTCTGCTGTGGGAGGGAAGTGCTTGTTCCACTGAATAGAACACATAGAATATTATGTATATTATATGTATATTTTTGAGTTGGAGTCTCCCTCTGTCACCCAGACTGGAGTGCAGTGGCATGCTCCCGGCCACTGCAACCTCAACCTGCTGGGCTCCCGCGGTCCTTCCACCTCAGCCTTCCAAGTAGCTGGAACTACAGGCACGCGCTACCATGCCCGGCTAATTTTTTGATTTATTGTAGAGATGAGGTCTCGCCAAGTTGCCCAGGTGGGTCTCGAACCCGTGGGCTCAGGCAGTTCACTCACCTCGGCCTCCCAAAGCACGGGTTTACAGGCTGAGCCACCAAGCCTGGCTGAGAATATTCTTACTGAATAGAGCAGAGCTTGGCCATGTCCTGAGGGGAAGTTTAACTGAAGCTGGGTAGGGTGGTGGAAGCCCCACTCTGACACCCACCTCCATCCCCACTTTTCCACTCAGCCAAAAAGACTTGGAGAATCTGAAAGCCGAGGTGGCACGGCGGCACCAGCTCCAGGAGGCCAAAAACAGGGAGAGGGCCGAGGAGCTAACAACCACAGAGCCTGAGCCTGCTGGGGCCCCAGAGGACATGGGCTCCCAGCCCCCAGCTGCCAAGGACCCTTCTTCCCCAAGCTTGCAGGGATAGAGAAGGAGACAGACGGACAGTCAATCATCGGCCCCGTTATCAGTGATCCAGACTCCAGGAGAAAGGGGGGCGTGCCTGCAGATTAGAAGAGGACACAAGGCCCTCTTCTTCCATGTTCCACCCCCACTCCCACCCCTAGCACCCTCCTGGGACCCTGGCCTGCCTGCCCCCCAAAAGATGTTTTTGCACTGGTTCAATGAATATACGATGCAGAGGTCTAATTGAAGACATGTAAATGGAGTAGAGTGTGCGGACATCAGTTCCCAGTCGGGGGGGGCGGGTGCCCAGCAGGTGTGTGCGTGTGTGTCCATGCCCGAGTGTCTCGATCCGTCCTTCCTAACTTGTACATAGCCCCAGGTCAGTTCCGATGAAGTGCAGTTGGGATTTCTCAGGTCATTTGTATGTTTGACATATGGCTGCTGCTTTTGCTGCCACTACCCCCGGGCCCAACCTGGCTCAAAGTCCAGGTTTTAAGCCAAAAAAGATGGGGACTTTCCTGTGTCCTGGGATGGGGAGCCAGAGCTCTGGCAGGGCTGTAGGGTTGGGGTGCACTTTAGCTTCTGGCAGGATGAGAGCCACAGCGGCTTCAGGAATTGTGTTCTAGCTGTAGCTCTGGGCTGAGGGGACGGGGTTGGCAATGGTGGTCCCCAGACATTGGGTGCCCAGCCCTGGCCTGTCTGCCCATAGCCCAGCAGGAGGCGCTGCCACGGCTCTGACTTGCCTCCCTACTCCCTGCCTCCCAGGTGGGGATAAACTTGGGAGCTATAGTCTGAATGTATCCTTCTCCCCATTTTAACCTGAGCTGCCTAACGCACAGTGGGGTGGGTGGGTGAGGGCCTGGGAGAACCGGGGCTGGATCATGGATCCTGGGTAAAGATGCAGGCGTGCTTGCCACCTCTCTGTGGAGCCCAGCTCCCAACCTGGTACTTGCCACATGGCACCTTCTACTGAGAGGAGCTTTGGGGGTGGCGGGAGGCTCCGCAGGCCCGGCCATTCCCTCTCTCCGCCTGCCTGTGCCGCTTCTCTGTGCCTGCTGTCGGTGCCCTGATCGGGGAGGAGATTGCCACCCTGTGAGCCCAGAGAGCTGTGTCCTCAGGCCTCTGCCTGGGGCTTCGTGGAGAGTTGCCTATGGGTGTGATCTGTCCACCTTGTTTCAAAGGGAGCAGGCGTGAGCTAGCAAGCAAAGCATCCCCACAGCTGATCAAGAACTTTTTCTTGTTTTTAAACCATCACGTCTTCATTTCACATTGGAATAAAGTGAGTTTTTGAAACCTGTCCCAGCCTCACCTGTGTGTTCTGTGACCGTCTTTTTTGTGAGGGCTACTGTTGATGTTCCTGGGAGAGGAATATGTATAAATTAGGTCAAATTCAGGGTTATGCTTTTAATGTCACTTAAGTGGGAGGAAAGGGATAGAGGCATAGGCACTCGGCGGTGGTTTACCTGGCTGCCAGTTACAGATCAATGTCACCTGTCATTGGTGACAGAAGGAAAAAGGCTGGAGTAAAGGCCAAGTGGGGAAAGGGTGGTGCTGGGCCATGGGTCCAGGCCCTGGGCACGGTGGACCTGTCACTGCATGCCTAGCTGACTGCCCCATCCCTTCATTTGAGGTAGGATTTGGCAGCATTCCCCAGAAGATGCAATATTTGGAGAATGGAGGAGTGTCTAAAGTCTGCCATTATAGGCCGGGCAGGAATGGTTCATGCCTGTAATCCCAGCCCTTTGGGAGGCCACAGCAGAGGGACTGCTGGAGCCCAGGAGTTCGAGACCAGCCTGAGCAACATAGCGAGATGTCTCTACAAAAAAATCAGCTGGGCGTGTGGTGTACAACCTGTAGTCCCAAGCTACTCAGTAGGCTGAGGTGGAAGGATTACCTGAGCTTGGGAAGTCAAGACTGCAATGAGCTGTGATTGTGCCACTGCACTGTCATCCTAGGATAGGTTTCAGAGTTAGCTAAAGCCTCTGGGAGAGCTCATGAGATGGGAGGAAGGGGAACCCCTCTAGGTGGGCTTGGGCAGAGCCTGTGAAGCGAGGGGGCCTGTTTCTATGCAGAGGAGAGGCTGAAGTCTCATCACAGCCGGTGGCCACTGCCCAGTCATCCCTCTCCAGAGCAGACAGGCAGTGGCCTTATGTATAACTGAATGCCTTTGGAATGCTTGGAGAGTCCTTTATGTCTCAGAAATCCTGTAAAGAAAAAATTCCAACGCTAATGACTGTTAGTTCTCCAGAGCCAACTAGAAGAAATACATCCCTGATCTTGTGGTTTTAAGCAACACCCAAGGATCACCATCAGTGCCTTGGCCACTGAAGCCTTGAGCACATTCCCTCTGCCACACTGGCAGTTTCCTCTGCAGTCTCCCTCCTGGTTGTGTCTACACACGCTTTCCTCTGGCCTTTATCCAGCAAACACAAGTCATGTGGTTCACGACACTTCTTGAAACGGGGACATCATGTCAAGCTGAGAATGGACTGGGTTTAATGACCATTGTGCCTACTTGTCACCTGAGAGGCCCATTTTCCTTGTTAATCCCTTAAGCATCTTAGTGCTGTCAGACACCATTTGACAACCTAAATGACAAGGGGCTCTTTTATAAAGGACATGGAGGCTCCGGGTTGAAATCCACCCTTTCTTCTTCCTTTCTCTTGGGTGACAGATTCCAAGTTGTTGTTTTTTCCCCCAAAGGGCAGTGGTAGCTGGGTGCTCACGCCTGTAATCCCAGTACTTTGGGAGGCGGAGGCTTCAATGGCCATCAGTGTGCGACTGCACTCCAGACTGGGCAACAGAGTGACTCCAATTCAAAATTAAAATAACTGTTATATCACTGTTAAGTATAATAAGTACTGAGAGAACTTAGATTTAAGTGAGGAATAGCCTGCAGCTGAGAATAACCTATCCTAATGTGATCCAAGTTTTTTTTTTTAGTTAACTTCTTACTTGGTAGCCCAGACTGGAGTGCAGTGGCATGCTCACAGCCACCCCAGCATAAGCCTGCTGGCCTCTGGAGATTCTTCCACCTCAGCCTTCCAAACAGCCGAACTACAGGTGCGTACTACTGAGCCCAGCTCGGTTTTGATTGTAGAGACGAGGTCTCACCAAGTAGCCCAGGCTGGTCTTGAATTCACGGGTTCAGGCAATCCACTTGTCTCGGCCTCCCAAAGTGCTGAGATTACAGGCTGAACCACTGAGCCCGGATGATCCAAGTATTTCTGAAACTCCCTAACACACCTCTTGGGTCTAAACTACCAATGAAATCAGGTGAACAGAGAACAGGTGGCCATCTCCAAATGGAAACTTAATGCCCTCACTGATGAGAGTAATTCATTGATTAAAAAAAAAAATCATAATTCCGGCTACTCGGAAAGCTGAGGCGGAAGGATTGCCGGAGCCCAGCAGGTCGAGGCTGCGGTGCCCGGAGGCAGCCACTGCACTCCAGTCTGGGCGACAGAGTGAGACTCCAACTCAAAAAAAAAAAAAAAAAATCAGACACTGCAGCCAAGGCCAATGGCTCTTGCCTGTAATCCCTGCGCTTTGGGAGGTGGAGGTGAGAGGATTGCCTGAGTCCAGGGGTTGGAAACCAGCCTGGGCAACTTGGTGAGACTCTGTCACTACAAAAAAATTAGCTGAGTGTGTTGGCACTCATCTGTGGTTCTAGTTACTTGGAAGGCTGAGGCGGAAGAAATGCTTGAGCCCAGCAGGTCGAGGTTGTCGTGGCCGTGGTCATGCCACTGCACTCTAGCCTGGGTAACAGAGACCTTGACTCAAAAAGAAAAAGTCACCGGGTAAAATGATTGAGCCTTTCTAAAATGATTGGGCAACATAATTCTTGCTTATCCATTCCCAGTTCCTTCATCCCTCCATTCCTAATGGTCATCCCACAGTGGGGCTGGTAGTGGGGGTACATATGAGAGGGCCCCGTGAGTGGGATAAGGGTCTTTCCTGAATTATTAAAAGTTTTTTAAATGTCTAAAAGGTGTCCATGACCAGGCAGGGTGGCTCATGCCTGTAACCACCCAGGCTTAGCACTTTGGAAGGCTGAGGCAGGAAGATCACTTGAGCCCAGGAGTTAGAGGCTGCAGTGACCTACCACTGTATAACTGCACTCCAGTCTGGGCAACAGAGACCGTGTCAAAAAGAGAAGAAAAAAAAAAGTGATGGTGCAAAGAAAGATCTGAGTTCAGGCCTCAGCTGTGGGGCCCAGGGACCAGTGACTTTTAGCTCGGTGGTTCTCAAACTTGAGTCTGTCTCAGAATCACTGAGAGAGCTTGTTAAAAATAGGTTCCACCCCATTTCAGGTTTAGTAGGTCTGAGGTGGGGCCCTACAACTTGCATTTCTATCAGGCTTCCCAGGTGACACGGAAGCAGCTAACTCAGGGAACACATAAGAATCACTGTCCTAGAAGATTCTGATATGTCAGCAGTTGAGAAATGTGTCTGCATACACGTTAAGTTTCACCAGACCAAGTAGGGACAAAGCCGCCTCATCCAGGATGCTGCACTATTTCTGCGCCATGTCTTCCACCTTCCTGCCTGTCCCTGTACCAAAGCACATGTGTGGCCACAAACCCTGGAAAGCTTAATGTGCACAATGCACCAAGAAGCACCAAGGCGTGAGACTAAAGCTAGAACTCTCCCTCGGGGGAAAGTGGTCAGGACCCTCACCTGGGTCTCAGCCTGGGGGAAATGTAGAGGAGCAGTGCAAGGAAGTGCAGGAAACTAACTTGAGGCAAATTGCTCTGATGCTCCTGGCCAGGAGCAACACCCAGTAAGAGGCAGGAAACCAGCAGGGCTGTAAGAAAAAAAACTCCATCAGTCAACAGTTGTCCTTTGTACAGGAAAGAAGGCTAGAGACTTCGTGGTGCCCTGAAGACACCAAAGTGTTGCTAACCAGCAGAGCAGTCTGTGGATGAGGTAGGACACAGCCAATGTGTGTAAAGCAGAGAGACCGGGGGCTTCTGGAGCAAAGATGAATTCCTATATTTTGGTACCAAAACAACAAAAACTGAAAACAGTATTCCAATCTTCATGAATCCAAGACCTTGGAGCAGGGGTAACAGTCCTTAGCAGAACAAAGGGGGTAGGGACCCTTATCTCTGGACTGTGACCCCAAGAGAGGGTCAAGTCTTGGCAAAGAGGGCTGGAACAGTTGACAGCAGCTGTCATTCCCAGAATGGGTTGTTGGGAGCCTGGGGGGATGATGCTGTAGCTGACCAAGCCAGTCTGCTCTGTGCAAGCCCACCACGCAGGAGCCCGCACTGACACTGCACTGCCTTCAAGAAAAGCCTCCCACCCAGGTCCTGCCGCCCTGTGACCAATCTGTGTCTTACTCTATGACTGGTACCACACACAGCCCTGTTTCCTATCAGGACTTCATCTGTGTATAAGACCAACCAAAAAAAAAAAATCACATGTAGTTTTATAGGCATTTAATAGTTTACCAATTGGTACAATAAGATTTTTTAATATGCAGAAAACATGAATAAATTTTGTTTTACACAGTCTGAGAGCAACAAATCTTACTGTAAAACACAAGAGCAATATTATATACATTCCTTTACTGATTTTTTTAAATTGTGTCAATATCTTCAGTTAACTCTTACAATCTGGGGAACTGTTTTCTCAATTACCACCTCTGCAACGTTCATACGAAATCAATGCTTGCCTTCATGTCAACGTCGGGATAACTTCTAACTTGAAGATTTCGTTTTGAACTCTTCAGCAGAGTGAGCTTTAGGGATGCCTGAAGGATAGGCAGGACAAGAAAGCAGCTACTTCCATGATACAGTGGAAAGACAGAAAGGCCCATTCAGTCCAGGTGTGACTTGTAAATCCAGCTTGCCCTCCCCCCACCCTACTGGAAATAAAACCAAAACCTTTTCCCACTGATTTTGTACATGTCGCTTCTCTACCAGGAGATTCTTCTTTGCATCACCTAGATTAATCAACACATTGGACTTATATACAGCTGGACAGAAAGAATAACCATGTTAAGTGCCTTTTTCTTCAACAATTTTAACTTCAGATTATCAAGCCACCACTGTCAACAAACAAAATATCCTTTACTTTCAAATAGCTTTTCTTTAAATAAAGTTAGAAAAAACTATTTAGTGATATTACTGGGAAGTTCACACAGAAACAGAAAGAGGCAAACAGGAGAGCAGAGCACTGACAGGAGACTGGGCTTGGTGAATCTAGAGCCAAAGCTTCCAAAAGACTACAGCGAGTGCTCCCCAGCGTGGGACCACTTGCTAACACTAGTGAGTCTGAGTAGTGCTCCGGGCACACCACTGGTCACACCACACATAGACAAAACAGGACGGTCTTAGTCTCCTAAAGTGCAAGATGCCATGTCAACAAGCAACTAGTCTCCAAGTGATGACTACACCACAGTTTCCGTGGCTTGCACTCTCACAAGTGCAGCTAGGATTTCTTGGGCACATTATATTAGGGTGGCACTGGAATGTCTGTTTTCACACACACACAAAGTCAATAATCATTTGAGGATGCAATTCTATCAGCTTTTTATTTCTTAAATAAATGGCCAATTTGACTGAGAAAGTGACAAAGCAGCAGTGAACCTCTAAACCAATTAATAAAGTCCTCTACTTACAATCCAAACCAGTAACCTCATCATTGTCCTTATCCCAGGCAAGGCACAGGGTCAGACAGCAGACAGAGAAAATGGAGAACACAGTCAGAAAGGGCATCAACAGGGCAGTGTCAGACAACAGTGCAGGAAACCATTGCCAATCTGATTCCAGACTGTAGGTGGATTGCTCTCCCCCAACCCCCCTTCATTATTCAAACAGGGCTTGTTACACTTGGATCCAGTTGTGGACCATCCCTGAGATTCAATGTTTGCTGCTTCTTAAATGGAGGATGTCTGGTAACTCAACTAAGCAGCAGGCTGTGGCAATCTCCCAAGTAAGGATAACTTTGTTTACAGAGTAATTGTTTCTCCTCCTTTGTCACAAGTCACTCTATGCTGCAGGGGAAGAAACCAATGTTTCCTCCTACATCGGTACCATTTTTTCCTTTATTGTTCATATCTATGAGTGATTTCTAGATGTTGTGGCTTACCCTTAAGCAATTCATGCTAAAAATGAATTAAAATACAAGACATTTATACATGTACAAACAAATGTTAAGATGCACCATTTCTATGTATTTATATTTCTCAAAATAGGACAGAAAATAGCAGCAAACAAGAACAAAGATATTTTCCATAGTTTCTGTAGAAAAATCCAGTCAGAAGAGCTAAGGGGAAAGAAGATTTCTCAATGTAAGCAGGGTTGTGAGGCAATATTGTCCTGAAAATTCATCTACAGGATTTAAGAAATTAGCTAAAGATGTAATTTTTGTCCTCAAGAATAGCCATTAGTTCTCAAAACACTTTCCCTTCCAGAGACAGCTATCAGAAATTATTAAAAACAAACAAACAAAAAGACACAAGTTAGACATAAAGCTGCTTCTAGTTAATATGTGGCCTAGTCTCTGTGCATGTATCTACAAGATGTTAACTCTCACCCTTTGTCTTTTTCAGGAATCAAATTTCCATTAAATACTAAAAGGGACACATTTTTAAAAATCACATATTACACAATGAATAAAATGAAATTCAGAATAAATTTACCTTTGTTAAACTGTCACTATTTCATAGTTCTGTTAACTTTTCAAATGACTTTCTTAAAACACACACACACACACACACACACACACACACTCACACAAACCTGTTGGTTAGCTAAGCAGTGGAATTCCTTATTAATAATTGACAATGGAATAGTGTTCCAAAAGTCATGGATAAAAGTTCTCTTAAACCTACTTGTAGTAACTTTGGATCAAAATATACAATATATCTGGGATGTGTAAAATGCTGAACAGCCAAATTAGAGGGGGAAAAAACAGAAATGATTTCCCTTCCAATGGAAGAAATTCCAACAGAGTCAGACCTAGTTTTCAGAAGCATTAGGATCAAAAAGAAGGGTTTGTTCTAAAGCATGGCATTCCACAGCAAGATTTATTCTACTTGTCCATTTTAGCACTTCTTCAAAAACCCAGGACCAAGGACATGGAGGTTGATGTGTGTGACATACACATACAGACGTATCCACTTATAGATAGGCCCATATACTTATAAACATTTATATATATAAAAAAGGTGAAAACACAGTACATTGTTATTCACACTCCATTAAACCCTGTCATTTTTTTAACTTGTAAGTGAAACAGTTCAAATCAATATCAGATTCATATTGAAAAGCAAACTGCCAACTGCTGTTATTTCTCCCACTCCATTAAAATGGGCACACAAAACCTTTTCAATGTTTCTGTCATTATGTAATGCACATTGCACATCCCTAAAAAACATCAAAAACAAATAGTGATTTGTACCATGACATACTCAATGGGAAGATTAAATTCTACTTGGAAGTCACATCACTATACAGTCTAACAGTATGGAAATACAACTAGAAGTATGTCTAGTGTGGAAAATAGAAGCTTAGAATATGACAGTATTTTTTAACCTGTTTACAAAGCATTAAGACCCAAATGAAATAGATGAGTTGCTATTAGCTGCTGAGATTTTTCTTGAGATTTACAGTCATTTTCTTACATAAATATACCACTAGCCTTTGCTTGATAGGCTGCCAAAACAAATGTATCCTATTGATTTGGCAAATGTGTCATGACAAAAATTCCAATGTGTAATCCCCATTAATTACATAGATGGTTCAGAAGATTTTTGAATTGTAGCCTTATTATCTAACATCCTTAAAGATTTATTAAGCACACTTAAGTGATGTTACATAGATACACATTTCAGAAAAAGCCCTAATAACCACCACTTCCCCCCAAATGAGGCCATCAAGTCAGGCACCAACAGACAGCAGAAAGAAAAACAGGAATTAATAATCCAACATAAAATGACACTGTCAACTATTCAGTTTAGTGCCCTAGCTCAATTTATTCAGCTTCTGCCTTCTTAGGCCTGGTGTGACCAATGCCAGCCCAGGTTTTAAAACCTATGGTACTTCTAGACAACATATGTAAATTTACAGTATACAATTTGGATTCACCATGCATGAATACTTTGTGTGTAACATTTAATAAGCTCAATCTACATCCAGAATAATTTACATGAAAGGACAATATTTATTTAAACAGAGCTCAATGGGGTAACCATGGTATCATCAGAGTGCATCCAGAGGAAAAAAGGGAGGAGGGGCCAAATGAGAATCAACGGCACTCCCACACCTTTACTGTTTGATCTACACTGCCAGTAACCACGTAGGGTGCCGTCTTGTGGAAATCTGAAAGAAAAAGAAAAGGCTTATTTTAAAACCACACTGAGCCAGATACAATGTGTAATGAGCCACAAAATAAACAAGTCTAAGTGTCAGGAATATTGTTTCTCTAACATACCCACACCCCTAGAAGGTATCTAGCTTACCAACTGGGTTAGGGAAGCGTAACTCAATGATTATATCCTATACTAACATCTCAATAAAAAAAGCCTACTCCCTTTTGTCCCATCCCAAATGGGGCTCAAATCTAACAACAACAAAGATAGTTTCAGCATATCTATTTACTGAACACCATGTTCTAGGCATAGTACTGGCGCTTTATGTTTGTGCTTAATCCTTGAAACAATCCTGTGAGACATTAGTTACATTTTGCTAAGATTTTATCTTCATCATTAGGTACATCATACCCTAGTGTGTTTATTATACTTTACTGTAGTCACTATCTTAAATTCTAAATTCAACTTCAGATGATACTGAGAGTGTTTATTAAGTTTAAATAAGATCCCACGAGTTCCTACTACATGACAGTAAACACCTGACAGAAGGAAAGTTTAAGTAAGATTTATTTTGAGACACAAACTAATAGGGGAAAAAATTACACGCCAGAGTGGTAAATATCCTCTTCACAATTAAAAGTCTCCAAAACCAATACTGTGCAATGGAGAGAGTAATTTCTCTCTCTCTCTTTTTTTTTTAACTATAAGACTAATAATGGAAAGAGAATTAAGGATAATTTTTTTAAATGATAGGAATCCATAAAGTTTTAACCTGCCTTCTCTATTCTGACCTGAAAGTACATGGTCATTTCTTCTCTAGTGAAGTCCACGAGATTATATAAAACTTTGTTATGTTTGACATTTCAAAATTTAATGTTCAGAAAACTCATAACTCATACATACCCAAGGAGGTAACAAAGTGTTCATGCGCATTGAGGGTCTTCATGCATCGCTTGTTCTTGTAATCCCACACACGTAGGGTCTTGTCATCAGCACAACTCAAAATAAACTTCCCCCCAGAATGAAACAGAACTCCACGTACCCAGTTATCATGACCCACCTTAAAAACAAAAAGTTATCTGACTTAGTAAAATGATTTTAAAAATGTGCAAATAGCATCTATGAAATAACATGTTACATGGAAACTATTTCTAAAAAATTCTCTCTTTATATATACACATAAAGTCAAAAGATATCAAATGACAAAGGGAAAAAAAACGCCTAGAGAATTCTTCTATATTAAAGGAAACTGGAAACTAACAAAATATGACCAGTAAATGCAGTGTGTAATCCTTGACTGGATCCTGGATAGCAATTTTAAAAAGTTATAAGTAATAATATTGGGATAACTGGAGAAAATATAAATATAAATGTTAAGTTTCTTTCTTTTTTTTCCCCGAGTCGGGGTCTCATTCTGTCACCCAGGCTGCAGTGCAGTGGCATGATCACAGCTTACTGTAGCCTCGATCTCCTGGGCTCAAGGGATTCTTCTGCTTCAGCTGTGACTACAGGTGAGGGCCACCATGCCTGGCTAATTTTTTATTTTCTGTGTAGATGAGTACTTGCTATGTTGTCCAGGCTGGTCTTGAACTCCTAGGCTCAAGCAATCCTTCTGCCTTGACCTCCCAAAGTGCTGGGAATATAAGGTGTGAACCACCATGTTTGGCCAATGTTAAGTTTTTTGAATGTGATTAATTTTAATGTGGTATATAAGCCCTTGTTCTTAAGATACATATGTGGCTGGCTGTGGTGGCTCAAGCCTATAATCCCAGCATTTTGGGAGGCGAGGTAAGAGGACTGCCCGAGCTCAGAGGTTCGAGATCAGCCTGGGAAATTTGGTGAGACCTAATCTGTACAAAAAAATCAAAAAATAAGCCAGGCATGTTAGCACACGCTTATAGTTCCAGCTACTTGGAAGGCTGAGGTGGAAGGATCACCTGAGCCCAGCAGGTCGAGGCAGCGGTTGCCATGAGTGTGGCACTGCACAATTGCCTGGACAAGAGTGAGACTCTGACTCAAAAAAAAAAAAAAGATACACATGCTAAAATACTTGGGTTAATATGTCTTGATATTTGTAAGGAACTCTCAAATGGCTCAGCAAAAAAATCTCACACACACACACACGTACACGCACACACGCACATGAAAAATTAACAACTGGTGACTAGGTAAAAGATATACAGGCATTCACACATATCTCTCCATTCATCTATAATTCCTGTCCCAACAGTTCTGTCTCTTGCAATTCATCCTTAAGGATATGCCTAGAGACTTACTTAACAAAGACGTTCACAAAACACTATATATGTTATCAGTGTATAAGAGCATCTATTAACATGAACAAGTCACATACTTTGTAAACTAAAAGCTTGCTACAAAGCTGTATTAGTAAAAAACACCATATTCATCTACATATTTAAGAAAGGTTTATAACTACATGGTCCAACATAGTAGCCACACGTGCCTACAGTCACATTACAAGAGCATAATAGCTGCACATGGCTAGTTGCTACAGATATAAGCACATCATTGCAGAAAATTATACTCGGCAGCCCTACTATAGAAAAATATACTTGGAAAGTATTATCAGACATGGTAGAGTTGATCAGAGGGTGATTTTTATTTTCGTCTTCTAGTTTTTCTATATATGTCTAAATTTTTCTACAATGGAAATGTCTTTTTTCCTCCCTCTCCCCTCACCCCCTAAGTTTTGCACACACACACAAAAAGCTATTTATAGTTTAAATTTTTTTTAAAAAAGTATAATCCCTTTAAGCTGAAAATAGTCAAAAACCTCCTAGGGAAATTTCATGGTGATTTGTGCTATCTCAGAAGGGGAGAGCATGCTTTTTTATTTTAAACGTATTATCTTTTTTTTTTCTTTCTGAGACAGGGTCTCGTTCTGTCACCAGGCTGGAATGCAGTAGTGTGAGCATAGCTTACTGAAGTCTCAAACTCCTGGGCTCAAGCAATCCTTTTGCCTCAGACTCCCGGGTAGGTGGGGCTAGAGATACGCACCACCAAGCTTGACTAATTCTTTTTCTTTTGAGTTGGAGTCTCGCTCTGCTACCCAGGCTGGAGTGCAGTGGCACACTCACTGCCACCACAGCCTCGACCTGCTGGGCCCAGGTGATCCTTCTGCCTCAGCCTTCAAAGTAGCTAGAACTACAGGCGCATGCCACCATGCCTGGATAATTTTTTGACACACTGTAGAGACAAAGAATCACCAAGTTGCCATGACTGGTCTCGAACCCCTGGACTCGGGCAATCCTCTCGCCTTGGCCTCCCAAAGTGCTGGGATTACAGGCTTGAGCCACCACGCCCAACGACTAATTCTTAAATTCTTTGTAGAGACAGGGTCTTGCTATGTTGCCCAGGCTAGCTAGCTGCTACAGATATAAGCACATCATTGCAGAAAATTATACTCGGCAATTCTACTATAGAAAAATATACTTGAGCCGGGCTTGGTGGCTCAGCCTGTAATCCCGTGCCTTTGGGAGGCTGAGGTGAGTGGATTGCCTGAGCCCACAGGTTCGAGATCCGCAACTTGGCGCAGACCTCATCTCTACAATAAATAAAAAATTAGCCGGGTGTGGTAGCGCGCGCCTGTAGTTCCAGCTACTTGGAAGCCTGAGGCGGAAGGATCGCCGGAGCCCAGCAAGTCGAGGCTGCGGTGGCCGGGAGCGGCCACTGCACTCCAGTCTGGGCGACTGAGTGAGATTCCAACTCAAAAAAAAAAAGAAAAATATACTTGGAAGGTATTATCAGACATGGTAGAGTTTTCTTTTTTGTTTTTTTTTTTTTGAGTTGGAGTCTCACTCTGTCGCCCAGACTGGAGTGCAGTGGCCGCTCCCGGCCACTGCAGCCTCGACCTGCTGGACTCTGGCGATCCTTCCGCCTTGGCCTTCCAAGTAGCCGGAATTACAGGCATGCGCCACCACGCCTGGCTGATTTTTTTATTTATTGTAGAGATGAGGTCTCACTGCCAAGGCGGCTCAGATGAGGTCTCGCTGCCCAGGCGGGTCTCGAACCCGCGGGCTCAGGCAATTCACTCACCTCAGCCTCCCAAAGGCGCGGGATTACAGGCTGAGCCACCGAGCCGGGCTCAAGGGTGATTTTTAAGCTCCTGGCATCAAATGATCCTTACAGGTGTGAGCCACCATACCTGGCCATATATCACCTTTTTTGACAGTAACATATAACTCAAATCAGGTCAGAATACTACTAGAGGAGAGTTTAATTTTCTATTCAATTCTTGATGATGCTTTCACGTGTCTGTCATATCCTACAGAGAGACAATCACTTTAAGGTATGGCTAGGACCTATACACTCTCTAAACACACATGGATGCCAAATTATAAAAACTGCTACTGAATTAATATCCACAGATCCCCTTGGAACTTCTCTAAGCATACAAGAATGTTCACAATTTCCTACTAACATTTATACAAACCTCATATAGAAATACAGATGCTTCTAAAATGAAATGAGCATTTCCAAATCATAAATATAGAACCGCTAATTTCAGAATGGTAAAATAAATCAAATACACTTGATCATGTGAACAAAAAGATGTAATCATTACAAGGATTCATATAAATAAGTGAAAGAGAGAAACAAATATCTTCAAAAATAAATGAGTCTTTAAGAACACTGTTTCTTCTCCATAGGAGAAACTATGCAATTTTTAAAGATACAGTGAGCTACTATCTACCCCCAACACTAACTGCTACCTTTATAAATACTTTATATAACAAACCAGAGTATATGACATTCTATAGAAATAACTTTCATATCACTATAACAATGGAATAACAGTTTAAGAAAAAGCATGTTTATAGAGACATTAAAGTCCCAAATAATTAAGAATATCTACTAAGCCATCACAAAACATCTAATCCAAAAAGGTATAAACACACAGTGAAGATGTAAAAACAGCAGTGAGATTATGCAAACTTACAAGGGTCATAAGGCACATGCCAGTACTGACATCCCACATCTTAATAGTCTTGTCTCTGGATCCAGACAGCAAGAATGGCCCAGGTTTGCCACTTTTTTTAGTCTACAGAAAACATATAGAAATTAAATTTTCCACAAAAGAAGTTAGGTAAGGATTTTTTTTTTTTTAATCAATATTTTTTATTATGGTTTTGTGGGGTACAGTTAAGGGTTAGGTGTACAATTACGTTTCATTCAGGCACCCTGTTGATAAGAGGTGTTTTCCCATCCCCAGACAGATATTTGCTACTGTTAATCCCATCCCCCCCCAGGTAAGGATTTTAAATAGCTTCTATATCGAGTAATGATCTAGATTTTCAATTTTGTTAAAGCCCAATTTGTTTCTATCTATTGAAATATGCAAAATTTTGGACGCCACACCTAGGCTACAAAGAAAAGGACTCAGACACGATAACAGAAAATTTCTACTTAAGATTCAGTTTCTATAATATCAACAGGTGACAAATTTATGATTCAAGATTTCTGTAATCAAGAAAGATGTCAAAATGATTTAATTTAGTTTTTATAAAGTCCAGCCAGAATCAAATTTATGTCATACGGCAAATAATGACCACCAGAGGGCAGTAAAAAAAAGTCTGAATATGCAATGGACCAACCAAAATAAAGCTCACAACAGAAGCTCCATATAGAAAAATAACTAGGATTAGGTGGGGGATAGGGGATTGCCTCTTTTGTGTATTAAAACATAGTTTTAAAAATATGTGATAGGAATGTCTCTATAAAAACAAATACGCTCACTTTAGGCTCATTCACAGAAATTTCATTCATTCATTCATCCATTTATTAGAGACAGGGGTCTCACTATGCTGTACAGGCTGAACTTGAAATCCTTGGCTCAAGTGATCCTCCTGCCTCAGCCTCCTAGATAGCAGGAAATATGGGTATGTACCATCACATATTTAGTTTTGTTTAGTAAGTTAGTTTTTTTGTTTGTTTTTTGAGTTGGGAGTCACTCTGTCACCCAGGCTGGGGTGCAGCAGCACGCCAACGGCCACTGCAGCCTTGACCTACTGGGCTCAGGCGATCCTTCTGCCTCAGTCTCCCAAGTACTTGGGACTACAGATGCATGCTACCAAGCCCAGCTAATTTTTAAATTCTTCAAATTTTTTATTTTGAGTTGAGATTCTTACTCTGTTGCCCAGGCTGGAGTACATTGGTATGCTCATGGCCATCGTAGCCTTCTAAGTAGCTGGAATTACAGGAATGCGCCACCATGCCCAGGTAATTTTTTGATTTATTGTAGAGATGAGGTCTCGCCAAGTTTCCCAGGTCGGTCTCAAACCCGTGGGCTCAGGAAATCCTCTCATCCCAGCCTCCCAAAGTGCTGGGATTACAGGCTTGAGCCACCACACCTAGTCAGTAACTTATTATTATTTTTTTTTTTGAGTTGGGGTCTTACTCTGTCCCCCAGACTGGAGTGCAGTGGTTGCTCCCGGCCATTGAAGCCTCGACATACTGGGCTCCGGCGATCCTTCTGCCTCAGCCTTCCAAGTAGCTGGAACTACAGGCGTGCGCTACCACGCCTGGCTAGTTTTTGATTTATTGTAGAGATGAGGTCTCGTCAAGTTGGCCAGGTGGGTCACGAACCCGCGGGGTCAGGCAATCCACTCACCTCGGCCTCCCAAAGTGCTGGGATTACAGGCTGAGCCACCGAGCCCGGCCAGTAACTTATTTTTAAGGTATTAATCATAAAGACTGAAATCACACAGAGCATGGATTAAGAATCATGAAGAAATGTATTAAAACTCCAGACTTACTCAGTACTTTAAATAATCAATAGTATCAGAGGCTTCCAGGTGAAATATTCTTTATTTAAAACATTTAAATACTGAGCTGTATTTCACCATAAATTTATAAATAAAATTGGTTCATTAAGGAAGGTTATTCTTTTTTTTTTTTTTTTTTTTTGAGTTAGAGTCTCACTCTGTCGCCGAGACTGGAGTGCAGTGGCTCTCGGCCACCGCAGCCTCGACCTGCTGGGCTCTGGCGAGCCTTCCGCCTCAGCCTTCCTAGTAGTCGGAATTACAGGCATGCATTACCACGCCCGGCTGAATTTTTTGATTTATTGTAGAGATGAGGTTCCGCTGCCCAGGCGGGTCTCGAACCCGTGGGCTCAGGCAATCCACTCACCTCAGCCAATCCATTCACCTCAGCCTCCCAAAGGTGCGGGATTACAGGCTAAGCCACCGAGCCCGGCTAAAGAAGGTTATTCTTTTAAAAGGTAACTTTTAACTTCTCCCACAAGTTTGGATTTACATTGGTAAACTCATAACAATGGCTTTTCTGATCAATTTAAATGGCCAATTTTACTTTTCAGAAGAATCTCCATCAAATGTCAAATCAAGGATAGGCAGACAGAGTAATAATCAGTGATTAAAAAATATAAACACATCTGCAAGTTGAAAAGAGTAAAGAGTTTAAAGATTCAGAATTCTGGGATGCAGATTTTTTAAAGCTTTAATACCCCTGAAATTGAGAATTAGAAAAGTTATTTCAAGGTTCTGAGATATCAGCAATAAAATCATAAAATGACATGTAAATACACAGTACCTCAGATCCGGTTGCTTCGGAGATGGAAGAATATGAGCTTTCTGGAGCCCAGGAAATGCATTCTACCACATGCTCATGTTCTCGGAGTTCAGCCTTGCATTCCTTTGTTGCTACGACCCATACACGCACAGTCTGGTCATTGGAACAGCTGGCTATCAGAGTGCCATCCTGATTTGGCCGCACCATACGTACCCATTCTCTGTGTCCTGTGAATGTCTTCACACAGTAGCTATCAATATAAATAAAAATTTACATGGTGAATGACAATCATCAGGACACTTCCCAGAAGTGATACAAAAACAGGCATGTACTATGATGAGGACAATGGCAGCAAGTATGAGAACTCAGATGCAAGTCAAGAGAATAATAATAAAAGAGGATAGGACAAAGTAAAATATCAGTTAAAATAAGCTGACTGTAGTATCATTAAGGAGCTAACCAAATCAACAAAATCTATAAGGTAAAATATTTATAAGAAACAAAATCTTTCAAAACTAAACACATACAATAAACCTAACAAAAATATTTCTAGCCACATTGAAAAAAACCTATGCTATGCTCATCTGAGTGAAACAAGTAGATTAAGATTTTATCACAATAATTAAGTGTAATTCCAAGCACAACCAAATTCAGCCTAACAGGAACATACCAGCATAAATGTTATCTACATTTTAATTTGAACCCACTTAGAGATCACCTAAAATAGGTATGCACAATCCACAGCCCACAGGCTGCATTTGGCCCAGGACAGCTAGTAATGCAGCTCCACAAAATCTTTTAACAACTCAGAATACAATTTTGTTTTGTTTTTTCAGTATGCCTTTAAACATATGCCATTTCAATTAAACCTACTTACCCAGTTTGCACTTCCCACATTTTTATAGTTTTATCCCTTGATGCAGACACTATATGATCTCCATTGGGCATTATGGCTACTGAAGAAACATTATGGTCGTGGCCTAAAACACATAACACGGCAATATATTAAGTGATAATGTTGCTAAGAGCAATTAAACCTCAGTTTACCAGAGAATTTTAACATAAGATTGCAGATATCATAGCAAGTTCTAAATATACTGGGCTTTATATAAATTGAGTAAGAGAACTGGATTTATACAACAAAGGTAAGAAATTAGTAGCTTAACAAAACAACCTATACAACTGTTTTAAAATAATAAGACATCAGTATTATTAGTATTTGATATATTAATATACTTAAGTGAGTCTGAATGTTATATATAAACACTAGAAAAACAAATTTCCTAAAGTTGATATTCTAAGGCATAAAAAGAAATAAGGTTTACAAAGCTCAACAGGATGAATAAGAAAAATGGAAATTTGGTTCTCTATTTAAAACAGTGGTTGAAAATTATCTTTTTGCTGATGTCAATGTTCATGGGGGAAAATAATGCCTTATTTCATATACATTATTTACGTTCCTAATTAGCTATCCTTTGTGGAAAAAGACCTTAGAGAGTCTTCATAAGTATATCATTTCAAGGAATACATAATGGTTAGAAAGAACTCTTTTTAAACTTAAAGCAACAAGATATAGACAACTTAAACATAAATAGACTTTAAAAAGAGATTTCACAGAACTCCTTTAATCAGTAAACTTCCCTAATGCACTGAATTTGATGGGAAAAACAAAACCTTCAAATAACATCCTTGAAGTAATCACATAGCTTGTTCACATGCTAACTAACATCTCTGGATAACCTATAGAAGCATTTTTTTAAAAATCACTAACACAGTATGTGTTCCTTGTACAAAATCCCAATATTCACATGTCAGCATGTGTAAAGAAACAACAAAAATTCCTATCTGGCAAGCACCTCCTATGTACCAGGTACAATGATTTAAGTATATGATTTCATTTTATCTTCATGACAACTCAGGTATTATTACCTCTATTTTGCGGTGAAAGAGGTTAAAATTTCCTAATACCATTAAGTAAACAAGTTGAAATTTGAACCCAGATATCTGATTCCAAAGCCCACACTCTTTCCACAAAACAACAATGATTCAGAAAATAGTCCCCATGACAAGACCTGGAAAACAACTTAATAATGAGCAAGGGAGTCTGGGTTCCAGCTTTCACTATACCCACCCTCTCTGGATTTACATTTCCCAACCAAGAAAAACAAAAAAAACTCTGTAATTTCATTTTTTTCAAAGATGGATACATAACCTGGCAGTTTTTCTTATCCAAAAAATACTCATGAAAACAAGCATTTTACATAAGCTATGAAGAGAGACTTAAAACCTCGTAACAGAACAACTCCCAATTACTGTGGCTTATCCATGGACTATATGTTCTTTCACCAATACAGACAATTAAGAGGTGAATAAAAGAAATCTGCACACTGTTAGAAAACAATACTTCCTAAGTGTCATGCTAGAAATCACTATTATAGTAATAGCCTCTATTCCTTACCGTGCATGGTTCTGATGCATTCAAAGCCCTGAAAATCCCATAGTTTAATAGTCATATCTGCAGAACAAGAAGCCAGTAGCTTGCCACTGTGGTCAAATGAAATGTCCTGTACAGAGTCTGTGTGTCCCTTAAGAGTTCGTTCAAAATCTCCAGTCTCATAATCCCATACCTGTTAAGTAAACAGAAAATTGGTTAACACCAACCCGCATCACTCCTTTCACATTTCACATTTGTACTCAGCAGGCCAGTCTGGCACCTCATTGACTAATTAACTGAACAAGCAACAAAGAATAACTGTCTTAGAAATATCACATCTCAAGTATAAACTGGTCTTGTTTCTACAGAGAAAATGGATGCTCCAATTATTAAAATAAATCTCTATTACCACACTGATTAAAAGTTTCTACCATAAAACCAATTATGATAATAATTAGGTATATAAAGTCACAAGACAGCCCCTTCCCAATCTGAGAGCAGGCAACACACACGTAAACAAGGAAATTTAAATGAAAAAAAAAAAAAGCTTCAAGGAGCTATGATAGGCATTTATATGTAGTATATTAGGACCCAACTCTACTAGACTAGCAGAACTCTGACATCTAAAGGGCCAAGGAAAGATTCCATAAAATGTAAAATGTTCATGAATAGCAAATGAACAAAACATTATTTTGATTTTTAAAGATGAGAGTCACATTTAAAAGGTAATTTTTTCTAAAATAATAAAAATAATGCGTTACCACGAATAAGTATTAGAAATGGATCTTTCAGGCCAGGCGAAGTGGGTCAGGCCCATAATCCCAGCACTTTGGAAGGCCAAGGAGGACTGCTTGAGCCCAGAAGTTCGAGACCAGCCTTGGCAACATAGCAAGACCTCGTCTCTACAAAAAAAAAACAAAAATTAGCCAGGTGTGGTGGCGCATGCCTGTAGTTTCAGCTACTCGGGAGACTGCATGGCAGGAGGATCGCTTGAGCCCAGAAATCTGAGACTGTGGTGAGCCATGATCATGCCACTGCACTCCAGCCTGGGCAACAGAGCAAGATTCCAACTCAAAAAAGAAAAAAGAAAGAAAAAAAAAAAAAAAAAGGAAGAACAACAAAAAAACCCAAATCTTTTCTCAATAACATATCAAACTTTCATTCTGGTGGCCAAACACTAGTCTGAAATCCAATCTTTAACATCAATTCCACGCTCTAAAATCAAACAATTCCATTATCCCCGTGACTAGTACAAATTATTCTGTTGTAGGGTGTGTACCAACCAATTTAGGAAAACTTAGAAAATGCATTTTGAGCCTGGCTCGATGGCTCAGCCTGTAATCCCATGCTTTGGGAGGCTGAGGTGACTGAATTGCCTGAGCCCGCGGGTTCAAGACCTGCCTGGGCAACTTGGCGAAACCTCATCTCTACAATAATCAAAAAATTAGCCGGGCGTGGTAGCGCGCGCCTGTAGTTCCAGCTACTTGGAAGGCTGAGGCGGAAGGATCGCCAGAGCCCAGCAGGCCGAGGCTGCGGTGGCCGGAAGCGGCCACTGCACTCTAGTCTGGGTGACAGAGTGAGACTCCAACTCAAAAAAAAAAAAAAAAGACATTTTGAAAGCTTGAAAACAATCTAAATAGCTAACATTAAGGGAATGACTGCGGAGAAAGAAAATCTGCATCTATAAGAAATTTATGGCATGTATAAGGCACTGTAAAAAAAGAATACAAACTTATTTGTGATCACAGTTACATAAAAAAATGTACTTAAGGAAAATAAACTATCTTCTAGAAACATTTATTTAGTAAAAAAGTTACATACTCTTCCTAATACAAATAATATCTTTATCTTTGAGTATGTGTGTGTGTGTGTGTGTTGGGTCCCATTCTTGTCACTCAGGCTGAAGTGCAGTGGCATGATCATGGCTCACCGCAGCCTCAACCTTCTAGAATCAGACGGTCCTTCCACCTCAGTCTCCCAAGGAGCTGGGACAACAAGCACGCACCACCATACCCATCTCATTTTTAACAAATTTTTTGTAGAGGTGAGGCCTCATGTTGCCCAGGATGGTCTCAAACTCCTGGCTTCAAGTGTTCCCCCTGCCTTAGCCTCCCAAAGTGCTGGGTTACAAGTGTGATCATTTTTTCCATTTAAATATTCAAGTACTTCTTATATAAAGTGATTAGTATGTGTTAAATTTGTACAGGTTTTCTTATATTTATCCTTAAGTAATTCAGGGTTTTTTTAAATACTAGAGTAAGCAGTATTTTTGAATTTCAATTTTCAATCATTCATTTTTAGCTTATAGAAATACAATTATTTTTTGTATACTGACTTTGTATCCCGTGATTCTGTTAAATTCAGTCATGGTTCTAGTGGCTTTTTGTGGTAAATGGAGATTTTCTATGTAGAAGATCATGCTGTCCGCCATTAAAGACAACTTAATATCTTGATGATCTTTTATTTCTTTTCTTTGTTATTGCACTGGCCAGGAAGTCCAGTACAATGGTGCATATAAATGGTTAAGATTGAACATCCTGGCCATGGTTCCTGATATTAATCAGGGTGAAAGCATTCAGTTTTCCACAATTAAGTATTAGACATAATAGCTGGGCACAGTGGCTCGTGTCCGTAATCCCAGAACTTTGGGAAGCCAAGGCAAGAGAGTCATTTAAAGTTAGGGGTTTGAGACCAGCCTAGGTAACATAGCAAGACCTCATCTCTACAGGAAATTTAAAAATTAGCCAGGCATTGTAGTACAACACCTGACCCCAACTCATGCCTGTAATGGCAGTACTTCGGGAGGTGGAGGAGAGAGGATTGCCTGAGTTCAGAGGTTCAAGACCAGTCTGGGCAAGTGAGACCTTGTCTCTACAGTAAATCAAAAAGTAGCCAGGCATGGTGGCATGCGCCTGTAGTTCCAACAACTTAGAAGCCTGAGGCAGAAGAATCACCTGAGTCCAGCAGGCGAAGGCTGCAGTGGCCATGATCGTGTCACTGCACTCTAGCCTGGATGACAGAATGAAACACTTAATAAAAAAAAAAATCTTATACATACTGTAGGTTTTCCAGATACTTTTACCTTTGATCAGATTAAGGAAGTTCCCTTCTATTCCTAACCTGTTGAGGTTTTTTAAAAAAAAAAAAATCATGAATGGATATTAGAATTTTGTCAAATACTTTTTCTGAACCTACTATGTGTTTTGTTGATTTGGTATATTACACTGCTTGATTTTCCAACGTGGAACCAATCTTGCATTCGGGGATAAATTCTACTTAGTTATGGTATATTAATTATTAACTATCCTTCTTATGACATGAATTCAATTTGCTTATACTTTGTTAAGGATATTTCATCTATAATCATGAATAGTACTGGCCTTCAGTTTTCTTTTTTTGTAATATTTCTGTCTTATTTTGGTATCTAAATGTTTGACAGCAAACATTCAGACTTCTTTATTACATGCTGAAAATACCAAAGTTTCAGTTTCTTCTCATGCATTAATTAAAATACATTAAGGTAATTTCTTTAAAATAAATATACCCAGAAAATGAACCAGTCTTTTCATAAATGGTGAGCAAATAGAACATTTTAGTGTCAGTTTATACATTTCTAATGAGTTGTAAGAATTACTTAGATATTTAACTTTTGTCTGATTATAAAAGTAATAAATGTTCAAGATAAAGAATCTATAATGTACTGACATAAAAGTAATATAAATATACATTATCCTACTAATGGCATGGCTTTTCCATGTTTTTCTATGCTACTTTTTAAAGATAGTAAATATATATATTTCATTATCCTGTTTACCTTCTACTTCTTACCATATTTTTCCATGCCAATAAAAACTCAGCAAACATTAATTTTAAAGGAATTCCTATTGTTGGCTAAATATTTTGCTATTATAGAAAATATTATGGGGAACATCTTTAAATACTGCACACAAAAAAAATCTGTCCCCATTTTACAATACTTAGGGAATTCTTATTTAAAACGCAAAATATCTTGGAAGTCTGATTGATATGTTAATTTAATTTACATTTTTATACTACTAATAAAGTCAAAACTTTTTTCTTTTTTTTTTGAGTTGGAGTCTTACTCTGTCACCCAGACTGGAGTGCCGTGGCAGCTCCCGACCACCACAGCCTCAACCTGCTAGGCTCCGGCGATCCTTCCACCTCAGCTTTCCAAGTAGCTGGAACTACAGGCGCACACTACCACGCCTGGCTAATTTTTGATTTATTGTAGAGATGAGGTCTCGTCAAGATGCCCAGGTGGGTCTCAAACCCGCAGGCTCAAGCCATCCACTCACCTCGGCCTCCCAAAGTGCTAGGATTACAGGCTAAGCCACCGAGCCCGGTCCAAACTTTTATTATTGTTGGTTAACTATTATTTCACTTCATAAATTATCTGTTCCTGTTTTTCATATTTGAATTCTTTATTCTGTATATCAAAGTTGGAAATCCTTCATCTGCTTATTAGTTGAACATGTTTTTCAGTTTTGTTTGCTGTTTTTTTTTTTTTTTTTGAGTTGGAGTCTCACTCTGTCGCCCAGACTGGAGTGCAGTGGCCGCTCCCGGCCACCGCAGCCTCGACCTGCTGGGCTCCGGCGATCTTTCCGCCTCAGTCTTCCAAGTAGCCGGAACTACAGGTGTGTGCTACCACGCCCTGCTGATTTTTTGATTTATTGTAGAGATGAGGTCTCGCTGCCCAGGCAATTATCGAACCCGTGGGCTCAGGCAATCCACTCACCTCAGCCTCCCAAAGGCGCGGGATTACAGGCTGAGCCACCGAGCCTGGTTATGTTAGCTGTTTCTTTTTTTGAGTTGGAGTCTCGCTCTGTCACCCAGATTGGAGTGCAGTGGCCACTCTTGGCCACCGCAGCCTCGACCTGCTGGGCTCCGTCAATCCTTCTGCCTCAGCCTTCCAAGTAGCTAGAATCACAGGTGCGTACTACCACGCCTGGCTGATTTTTTGATTTATTGTAGAGATGAGGTCTTGCCAAGTTGCCCAGGTGGGTCTCAAACCCGCGGGCTTAGGCAATCCACTCATCTCAGCCTCCCAAAGTGCAGGATTACAGGCTGAGCCACCATGCCAGGCTTTGCTGCTTATTTCTTAAGGTTAAAATCAGTTCTAAGCCGGGCTCGGTGGCTCAGCCTGCAATCCCGCGCCTTTGGGAGGCTGAGGTGAGTGGATTGCCTGAGCCAGTGGGTTCGAGACTCGCCTGGGAAACTTGGCAAGACCTCATCTCTACAATAAATCAAAAACTAGCCAGGCGTGGTAGCGAGCGCCTGTAGTTCCAGCTACTTGGAAGGCTGAGGCGGAAGGACAGACGGAGCCCAACAGGTCGAGGCTGCAGTGGCCGGGAGTAGCCACGGCACTCCAGTCCAGGCGACAGAGTGAGACGTCAACTCAAAAAAATAAAAAAAAAAAACAGTTCTAAATGACAACCAGTAGTGGCACTTCAAAAATTTTAATAATGTAATTAAAAATACTGTCATAAAGTAATCTGAATATATTTATATAGCCATACAAATTTCCCAAGTTATTAAATTCAAATGATGACATTAATGTAACTGAATGCTTTTAAAGGAACAAACCAGTTTTATTTACCAAATGCACATCAGTAATTATTTAATATAACACAATTTGAAGTGTTTGTTATCAGTAACTATAACATTAGGTACAGTTTATTGAGCTTTGTCAGGCAATTTCCTGCTATATTCATTATGTATACATTATTTTAGAAGAAATAAATTATCACAGATACTTTTAATCCACCTTCTCCCAAAATGAGAAAATTGAGCCTTAAACCTATCAAGCACTTTGCCCATAACAGTCACAAAATTACAAAGAACTT